TATTGATTCAGAACTACGGGCCTCGCGTGACCAAAGCAGGATAATGTTGTTTGAAAGAATCTTGATTATAAAATATGTTTAAGTCTAAATTCTGTGTTACAATAACAAGCAAGTTTGGTACAGCATTGTTGATAGAAAAAATAAAATCCTTTTTTGAATATATGTATTGGAATAATATTAAAATTTACTATAATAATTACTAAAACATTAATTAAATTTTTACAATAAATATATATATGAATTTATAAATTAAATCTTAATAATCTGTATATTAAATAATTTAGGAAAAAATAATTTACTAATTTATAGGAAGTTAATGATAGAGCTGTAGGAAAGTTTAAGTCAAGAACTATACTATATGATATTATATTGATAAGGCTAAATCTGCTACTACATATTCTTGACCTCAGAGTATGGAATTATAACTTGGAATGAGAGTTTTATATTAGTCAAACTCTTCATTGATTTGTAAGAGTGTACTTAAATCTTGAACTATAATAGCTCCAATATATAATACTTTGTGAATATTTTCCTCAACATGATCTGTGGACCTGAATTACTTATAGTTTGTAGTTATTCATTTGCATTATCGGACTGATAGTTATAGTGAAGATTCATACTTAAACATTTTCAGTTTTAGTCAAGTTCATAATAAGTTTATTTTATTTATTTACAGTAGAAATATATTAAGCATAATATATTTTTGGGACTAATATGAGATTTATAAAAATATTTTTTTAAAAACATTTGTACAAACAATAATACTATTTGGCACACTATATGTTCAAATAGTACTTATAGGTTTTTTGTATATATTCGTAGAAAACATGTTTTGAAATCAAGATTGTTTCAAACAGCTGTATGCCAAACACTTCCTCACTTTCTTTTTCTTTTTTGGTATCTTTTACCATTTATATTATTAACTTTGAAGCTACAATTAATTCAAGGCATTCATCATTAGAGGTTGTTACATATCAATTGTACATTTATTTATTTATTGTATTCACTTATTAAAACTTTTATTATTGTACTTCAGTTTTAGGATCTCTTCCTATATCCTTCCACTCCTTATACTTTCAATCTTCATTTGAGATTGTATTTCTGGCAGCTGTAAGGAGCATATTAAGCTACTGGAAATTTTAACAAAATTCTAGTCGAGGCGCACGTAATCCAACAATCCACCCCTAGCAAACTCTAGCAGATACCAAGATGGTACAAGCTTTTGACATGACCCAAAGAACGAAATGCATGGTATCTTAAAAAACAACAGAAGAGAAATGATTTGATTTTGGTTGATTTATTGTAATTTGTTAAGATGAGGTTGGAAAGGTTGGAAAGGTAGGATGACAGAGAATTGTTGTTGTCGCCATTGTGGCGCACGTCTGAATGATACATCCAAGCTGACCTTACTATTCTTATCCCACTTCCTCGCCACTCCTATAACCATTCGTTCTCAAGTTATCACATCCACTATCCGATCTCCACACTCCGTAGGGTTATATTACTCTCCTAAAAAGTATCTTCTAAAGAGGGCTACTGCTGCCCCAGTCTCCTCTCTCCTGCAACTTATATACTGCTCTATGTGTAGGGTTCGCCCCATCTCTACCACCCTCCTCCGCGCTAACTATCTTATTCGTTGGCATAACAGATCTAAATGCTATCCTTTCCCCAGCGCTGGGTACAACAACGGTGCAAAGTCATACCAAGGAGGAGGTATACAGCTACCTCAGACAATTACCACTATTTTATACCTAAATATATCATGTCTAGAGTTTCTGATGATCGCGCAGATCGACTTCGTCGCAGTCCTAGAAACATCCCAAGATAGTCGCTACGAACAAACTAGATGGATTGTTCAGCTCTGGTACCAGGAATCAGAGGGCCCCTGGAAATCTGCGGACTTCTCTCCCAGTGACGGCCTAATACCGGTATGACCATCGCGATGCACATCTTGTCCAAACTAATCCGTTTTGACAGCCAATATTATCCACTGCCGCTGCCCCAAACATCACCCGGAGGCGTTACTCCCTCCACCTAAAATGCCGGAACACAAACCCCATCCAGTTTACTCTACGCCTCAAATCTGTGCTGCGGGAGAACGCGCCATGGATCTGGAGCAATGAGCAGAATGGTCTTGGGGACGGTCGAGTCATCTTCCTTGGCCCTTCCACTGGCCTCCCCACATTCAAAAGCCTTTTTCATGGCTCAGACTCCAACATCGAGGCAACCTGCGCAAAGAGTCAAGTACCCGAAGTTGAGCTCTTTGATGTCACGGCCCCTGCTCCTCCTATCACCAACGGATCAAGTACAATTGCCTTGGGTATTCCCGCAGGCCTAGAACTTTATTACGCACTAGTGAGTCTCCTCAATGTTACGTGGTACAAAACTCTGATCCTTTCCAGGTTAAATTGAGTTCTCCATGGATGGGACCTCGCCAGGGCAACTCCCACTTCTCAATTGATCTCGATGGTCTCCTTACAGGATTCCTGCGTTCCGACGGGAGGCATGTTGTAGTTCTTGGCGTCTCTGGAATCAATGGTTGCACCACATATGTTCGCTCGGAAGCAGGAAAGGTTCTGCTAAAGACTAGAAATGATGCCGGTAATTCCCAACATCATCGTGCAATTATCGCCACTGGGTGGAAATACCAGGATGCCGTCAATGCTGCTTTTTATAGAGCTCGAGAATTGATTCAGGCTTTGACCCCACTTTCAAACACTGTAAAAAAATCGTCATCCATCCCTTCCTGGTATGAAACCTGGTAAGAATTACCCCCGGTTAAATAACTTGTATTACTGGTTTTAAGCGGCTTCAGGTATGACGGTCTTGCGTACTGCACTTGGAATGGGTTGGGCCGAGAGCTTTCTGAAGAAAAACTACTCTCTGCCCTCCAAGAACTTACCGATACCGGAATATATGGTCAGCACGAAGATACAACCCTCTGATCCCAAATGCTGATAATCATCCCTGTAGTTACCACTCTCATCATTGATGATAATTGGCAATCACTAGTAAGTTCTTGCATATCTTTCTCCCCCTGATTGCTTGACACAACTCTCGTTCTTAGCGCGACGGCAGTCGCTGGGACATGTTCGAAGCGAATTCCAAATTTCCACTCGGACTAGGGCACACAACTTCCGAAATTCGTAGGCGATTCCGGAACATCAGACACATTGCTGTTTGGCATTCATTAGTAAGTCACCTGACTTATTCCACCTAATCACTGATTGTAACCTTCACTAGTTCGGATATTGGGACGGCATTGCTCCGGGTGGCTGGATTGATACCAACTACAAATGTATTAACGTCAAGTGGCGCGGGGGTAAAGACATCTGTGTTGTAGATGCCTCAGACGTTGCACTAATGTACAATGATTTCTACAGGTGATTCTCAGAATCCCGCTTACCTCTTCGCTACTGACTCGATAATCCTAGTTTTCTCTCGAAAAATGGCATTGACTCCATAAAATGTGATGCGCAGTATGGGATCGATGACTTTGACGACCCCAAAGTACGTCAGTCTTTAGGCCCAGCGTACCAGGAAGCATTTAAAATAAATAGCCTTAAATACTTTTCTCGACGAGTGATTTACTGTGAGACAATCATTCTTCCAAGGTTTAATGTACTAACACTCCATCTGCAGCCATGGCACATATCCCCTACATACTCTTTCGGGAATTGCTCCCTCACGATGCGTCACGAGTCCTCTTCAGAAACTCTGACGGTACGGCTTTCTACTTCTCAACCCCTTTCATGTTTTCGTATTTCTCACAGAATTCCTAACAGACTTCTTCCCTGATATCCCGAGTTCACATGTGTGGCATGTGTTCGCCAACTCGATGAACAATATATATACCTCGAATCTGAATTGTTTACCGGATTGGGATATGTTCCAGTCAGCCCTTCCCACCTATGCAGGATTCCACGCAGCTGCAAGATGCATCTCTGGTGGCCCTATCTATATTACAGATACCCCTGGTCACCATAACATAAGCCTCATCAAGCAAATTAGTGCCTATTCACCCCAAGGTTATACTGTTGCACTCCGCCCAAGTTGTATTTCCCTTCCTACCGATCCCTTTGTTGCCTACAACAGTAATCGTCTTTTGAAAGTTGGTAATTTCTCTGGAGGACGCGGGGGTAGCTCCATACTTGCGGTATTCAATGTCTCCGAAAGTCAGAATTCAGAACTTATCCCTATGGATGACTTTCCCGGTTTATTGCCTGGGTATACTTATGTTATTCGGGCTCATACCTCCGGAGGGGTCACGGCAGTAACTCCAGGAACAGGCTCTTTAATGCCCATAACTTTACCCCAATATGGCTGGGAATTACTCACAGCAGTACCGGTGGTCGAAATCACGCATCTTAAATCAACAGGGCATTTCACTTTCGGGGTCCTCGGTATTATCTCGACCATGGCAGGTGTATCCGCCATCATACAGCAGTCAGTAAATATCGGATTAGCACATATCACGGTAACTATCACGCTGAAAGCTCTGGGTACCATTGGTATTCTGCCCCTCATCCCAAAACACCTGGTGCTTCCAATTAACTGCGTCTAACTCCGTAGGGCTCTATATTTCCGACCTTGCGTCCCAAGATATCACTAAATTCCTCGTGACAATCGCCGGAAATGTTGTTCCCTTTCATACAGTGAAGAAGAGCTCTCAGAGCAACACCGTCCTCGAGATAGATCTTGAGACTGCCTGGAATGAGCTAAATCTCTCAACCGGGTGGTCCAACGCGATAGTAATTGGATTTCATCTGAAATAATCCCGCCAGCCGTCGTGAAACCTCTCAAAACCGCGGGAGTGTTGTGGCCACTTTCTTATTCCCACCGAGCTTTCCTAATGCCTCCGTGAACACTATCTGCACCTCGGCATTCTGTCACGTTTTTTTTCGTGTTAATACTAGTTGCATCTTATCAGTTGCGCGCCCCTCTAGTGGCTGCTTTCCGCTACAAAAAATGCATAAGTGTGGAAACTCATGACTTCTCTTTTTATTTTTTTTGGAGATTACTCAATAGTATCAGGAAGCAGCCAGACCGTAAATCCCGTTATAGTTGTATTCAGCTTTCGTCATAGCCTTAGAACAATACGCTATTAGTTTTCCAACTCCATCCTTATCTTGTTGAGGAACCATACTGCTGTGTACATAGCATGGTACGTCAGTTTCTATTTTGATCAAGCTTTTTCATCTGAAATGTCATAATATCAGTGCAGTAATCAATTTTGTTTTCAGGTCTTTGCAAGCTTATTGTTCCTTTTCTCTCCATTCCCATTTCTGATTCTTTTCTGTCAGTTGGTATAGCAGTCTTGCTATCTGACGGACCCCGTTGATAAATATTCGGTAGACATAATAGAAGCCTGTAAAGCACTGAACATTTTTGACTCTAGTTGTTGTTTTCACAACTTCAATTGACTCTATTTTCATTGGATCTGTCCAGACTCCCTCTTTACTAATAATACAGCAGAAGTATTTAACCTCTTCTTGTTGGAATTAGGATTTTATGGGTTTCAGTCTGACTCCTATCTTCTACTGCTCAATAAAAATAATTTCATTATCCTTTTTGTGTGGTTCCAGATCCTCTAAAAATCTCAACAAATCATCTAAATCTGTAATAGAGATGACATCTAGAGGTTTACTTAAGTTATTATTCACCACTATGTAAAAAGTAGCTGGTACATAGTCTAGTCTGTATAGCATTACCAGGTATGCGCAGAGTCCATACCAATGTAACAATCCTATTCCCACTACATTAGCTCTTTAACTGGTAATGACCTTACCTTTCTGATACCTTGATAGACTTAATACTGCTTCGTTTTCATAATCACTATTGATAATGCCTGTTGATATATATTCTTAGTATCATCTTATTCAGATAAGTGAGACCACTTTCCCATGTCGTGTCGCAAGATATGTTTGTAGGTGGATCAGAGTATAGATTCAACTAGTAGTAAAGGAAAGAACTTAAGTTATAGAGTGAGGAGTCTGCACGGGATGTGCCTTTTTTATTTTTATTTATTTTTTGTAATCCTTTTATTTCTCCAGTTCTACATAAAGTAAGGTCTGAGGATCCTACCAGCTTTCCCTATACTGACCCTCATGTCTACCCAGGCTTTTTCTCCAGCAGCTAGAAGAAAAATGGGAAAACTGGAAAGGCTAACATGAGCAGCTAGATGCCCAATCCTCTGATCCCAAAACTTGAATGTGGAGGGGTCTTAACTAGAGTCACTGATACCCAACTGGCCCTTGGAGTAAAAGTCCTCACTGCCAGTCTCCTATACAGATAGCTTAAACAGTAAAGACGGAAAGCTCAAAACCTGTTCTTTGAGGCAAGGGAATCCCATGTACTGACAATACATCCTACCTCAATGAAAGAAAACTAAAACTAAGAAAACCACAAACCAAAGAACAAAGTCAACCCCTCGCCAACAACAACCAGATTCCAGGTCAGACCTGTTGGACCAACCATGTTTATGAACTTGAAATAACAAATAGACAATATCCAATAAGTGCATAAAGGTATGTATGGGCATATAGCTTTAGAGGTAAGCAAAAGAAATGGTAAGGAAAGAGCACCAGTCATAAGTAGAAGGTACTGGCAACAAGCAAGCCCTAAGCTGTCTCTCTAGAATGGCCAGTGAGGCTACCCAATGTAGTAAAAGATAGTGAAATAGTAGGGTAACAACTGACGTAACTGAAGAGAAAAAAAGGAGGGAAGGCTCGAGGCCATAGTGTAAACACAACTATTACCACACTGATGCCTTATTACTACACCTCTCATGTAGTGCCTTGTTCTACCAGAGATAGTGAAACTGAGTGGAAGGGATCCCACCAGCAGTAAGTAGGCAAAATGACAAGTGTCAGAAGGCGACTGCAACTTGAACTGAGGGATAAAGAGGATATGACCAGTCTGAACTTAAGATAGACTCCAAAGTTACTAGTTGAAGTACTCCACAGCAAGGATTGGGCAAGTAGGGAGAAGGATGTCTACCTTGGCGAGTACTGATTAGAAGCGAAGAGAGGAAGTGGTCCTTGCCAAAGTCAAGTGAGTTGCTTTAGTAAGACAGGACTATTGGATGAGCACAGATAACTCACCCATCAAGCAAACAAGAGACAAGAGAGGTGAGGGCGGGAGGGGATGGCAGAGTTAATTGTACCACCAGGTAGGAACTATTGAGGGAGTAAAGGGGAGAGGGAGAGGCTCATAATAGATGATATAGTATAGTAAAATTAGGTGGCAGGAAAATAGGAGCGACAGAGCATGCTGCACAGGTGGTCCTTGGTCTTATTTTTAGTATTATTATTATTCTCATATTTTGTTAAGATAAAAGAACTGCCATGCAGTACTAGCTATGACCTAAACAAAACCTTAATCTCAAAACAAACTTCAACAAAAGAAACCAAACTAGTGCCTGCTATCATTGCAAACAACCTATGTTGCAAAGAAACCAAAAATCAAATCTATAGTGAAATGCTCAAACTAACAAGAAGAAACAACATGCAAGAGAAGCAACTAATCCAAACCAAGAGCACCAGATCAAACAGTATGAGAGGTAGGTGGGTTGATTGTAGGAGCCGAGAGAGAGGGATGAAGGCCTCCATTCATGTAAGCTGGCATGAGTAGAGGAACCCCATTGAGGTATCAGAAATGAAGGGGACCAGGCCATGCAGTAAGGCCTGAGTAAACCAGAGTGGTTTATTATTGCGGAGGCTCTCAACAGCCTGGAGATGGCAATCTCGGTTCCTTTTGCAGGACAGGTATGTTAGTATTGCGTGGTGGAAGGTTTCCTGCTCACCCTAGCAATATGGGTAAATAGTAGAGGTGTCCAGGTCCTACCAGGATGTATGGGCAGCCAGGTAACTCTTCGTCACTGATTTTTAGTCAATAGAAACCACTATGAACATTTCCTGGCCCATGAAGGGTTGCAGGGACAATGTCAAAACGTCTGCATAGTAGGAGAGCAGCAGAAACTAGAAGGACCCAGAATGCAGAAGCAGCTACCTGCAACCCCTCTTAAGACCAAGAAAGATTGGGTAGCTGAGTGCTCAGGGGGGAGGGCAGTAGAAAGGAGGGACTCAGAGGCTGGGGGGACATGGAGCAGCTGGAAAACCATCTTGACAAGTGAGTAGGCTATTGCGTCCAGGAGTGGAAATTGGACAGGGCAGAGAAAGAGCGGTAGATGCATGTAGTGGCAGGATTCCTTTCTGGAGGAGGGCCCATCATATTGAGGGCAGTCAGGCATTAACTCGGGCGACAAGTACTTGCTCGTGGGGCGGTCGATCTGAGATCACGCT